ATATAATAATATATATATAAATATAATAATATATATATAAATATAATAATATATATATAAATATAATAATATATATATACAGTATAAACTGTTATTTATATAATTATTATTATCTCATATTTGTGCATAAAAATAAATAAAAAATAATTCTTAAAATATTAAAAAACATTGGATGTAAATTCAAGCCCAAAAGAAAGAAAAAAATCCTTAATATTATTTACTTAAGAAACTAAATCAGACCTTAAAGCTTGCTATAACGAAAGATTTAGCAATCTTGGTATAACGAAAAATTTAATGTAAAAGCTTTTGTTGTTGTTATTGTCCTATACGATTGTTTCTTAAGGGCATCTTAAAATTTATTAAAACGAAGTATTTTAAGCCGTTCAAATTTTATATGTTAACATAGTAGGCCAATAATTCTAAGTGTAGCCTTCGGATCGCTTTTATAAAATGACCAATATAATCCTCGGGGCGCGCGAGGATGTAATCAAGTATATAAGATGAAAGGTATTACATGTATGCAGGGCTTAGGGGGTGGATAGGTAACGGGTGGAAATTTGGATAGAGGATGGAGCTTCATCGCCAAATGAGGAAGTAAGTTCATCGATGGTCTCTTGTCTTAATAATCCATTTCAAAAGTCGTAATAAATCATCGCACGAAAATATTCTTGCATTAATTCCATTTTTTCGAATACCTAATTTACAAATCACAGTTATGAGTGACCCTCGTACAAATTCTGTCCTATTTAGACCAATTTAGGCTTACGACCTGAAGAGCAACTTTACCTACACAGACTTTTCTGGCCAATCTAAAATAATACAATAAAAATTTATATTACCTCACAACGCTGTATTGCTTTGCTGTATTCGATTTCTAGCATCTTGACTTGATCGCTCTTGCTATTTATTTCTCCACTTAATTCTGTATTTTGTAACTTAAGTTTGCTATTTTCGTTGCGTATCATTTTGTATTGCTCCTTTAAAACAAAATAAAAAAAATTAAATCATTTATTTATTTACATATAATTTTTTAGAAAATTACTTGTATATTTTTGTATTCGTTCTTAAAGCGGTCGCTTGTAGCAAATAGATTACGGAAATCATCTGTTAATTTTGAATGTTCCGTGCGTAAAATAGATAAATCTTCTGAACACGATTTCATAGATGCATTCTCTTTGGTTAGATCTTCAATTTGCTTTTCCAAACTGTCAATATGTTCCCGTAACTCTCGCGACTCATTGCGTAAATCTCGCACAACGCTTTTAAGTTGTTCCTTGCCTTTGTTGAGTGAATCATATTCAGAAGACAATTGATCATGTAAGGTTTGCATTGTAACTTGGTCGTGTAGCAAATTCTTGTGTTCTTTTTTCACAGTCTCGATTTGTTTTAGTAGCACATCTTTTTCAGCCGCCAATTGTGAATTTGCCAACTGCAGAGCTATATGCTGATTACTTAAAGAAGTTATCTGTGAACCTAGTGTAGCTACATCAACACTTAAACGTGCATTATCTGCTTGCAATTGTTCATTTGTACATTGTAATGCTGTATTTAGTGCGTTTATTTTCGTATTTGCTTCTGATAAACGCATTAATTCAGCAGTTTCTCTTGCTGGACTGACTCTAATTCTATGCTCGAAACTTAACTCTTGTGGTTCGCTCGAAAGTTCAATATTCTTCTCCACTGTATAGATTTCTTTACGATGGCATAATACACACATATCTGATTTAGTGTTTGAATTTTGTTGTTGTTCTTTTGACACATTCAGCATGATTTCTCGTACTGTTTTGAAAGTTTCCGGATTGCGTACTAATTTTTCCACAACTGTTTCGACATTTATTTCAGCATTTGCATCTGTTTGATCGACAGTTAGTCCTAGTTTTTCCAAATTGTGTCTTACTTTATTTGTGGCAAGTGTACCGGACACTAAATCGTTGCGTAGAGTCTCAATTGTTTCGGAATCAATATCGCGCTGCGATAATAAATCTTGATTTTGTTTTTCCAAATCTGTGATTTTAATCTGTGTCAATTCAGCTTCTTTAACTTCCTTTACCAGACGCGTCACTTCTTTCGTTTGTGTTTCCAATTTGACTGTAGTCTCGTCAAGTTGTACAGATTTTTCTTCAATACTCTCTTTTAGTTTTGTTACTTCTTTTGTTAAGCTAACATTTTCTCGCTCAAACGAACTTAATTTGTTTTCCAAATCATACATCTTTATTTTTGTATTATCATATTCTCTAGTTTTTTCTGAAAACTGTTCCAATTCTCTAGTTTTTGTTTCCAATAAACGTTCTAAGTCATCTGCTCTTCGCTGTATACTTTCGTTAAGTGTTTGTATACGTTGTTTCTCTTTGTTTAATGTTTCAACGTGTTTTTCAAAATCAATCATTTTACTACGATCAATTTCACGTTCTTGACTTTGTTTGTCATAGGATTTTTGACGATTGTCAAGTGTGTCTTGCAATTTTTTATTCTCTTCCAAAGCATTTTTAAAAACATTTTCAAGTTCAGTATTCTGTTGAATTTGTCGCTGCAAATTTTCCTGCATTTGATCAAGTTTTAAAGAAAACTTCTTCTTATCCTTTTCCAATTCCAATATTTTATTTGTTGATTCATGGAATGAAGATTCTTTTAGCTGATCAAGTGCAGCAGCAAGTCGTCTGTTTTCAAGTTCAAGTTTTAAGGCACGAGTCTAAAAATAATATGTGATTAATACATTATAAATTTTAAGTTAAATATATTAAACCTGTGCATTATTTGTCAATTGTTCAGATAAACTGTTATCGCCTGAATTACATTCGTCTTCATTGTCCGAAAATGATTTATCAATTTCTTGAGTTGTGTTCAAATTTTTGGCCACTAATTGCAGTTGTGTATTTTCTTCTAATAGTTCTTCCAACTTTGAACGATCGACATCACGCTCCAATGCCATGTCATTAAGTTTTTGTTTATATTTAATTATTTCAGATTCGAGCGTCATAACATGTTCAGAACGCTTACGTGACCGTTGTAATTGGTCTTCTAACATTTCTCTACAATAACACACATTAATTTATTATTTATCAAATAATAAAAGAAGAAAATTTAAATTAATTATATACTTTGTTTCTAATAACATGCGGTTGTCTTCTCTTAATTCTTCAACACGAGTTTTGTAAAATTCAGCATCGGTTAATTTTTCACGAAATTTTTGCACTTCGATCTCAAGCCTATTTGCACGCTCAGCATGTTCTCGCAGCACATCAACTTCATCGCGATAAGCTGCTGCACGTTTAGCTTCTGCATACCATTCCTGACTCTAAAAGTTTAATAAGAAACATAATCAAAAATTTAAAAATGTTTTTCAAAAATTGTTCTTACCTCAGATCTAAGTTTTTCGTATTGTGCGCTTTTGTGTTCCAATTCTTCACGCAATTCCAACTGGCTCTCCGCCTTTTCTTCCCTGTAATAAACAGAAAAGTCTTTTTGTAAACATTTTTGTATCAATTAATGATATTTAACGGTAATAATCATTATAGAAGCTTATTGGTTTATTTTGGAGGATTTTTTTTTCGAAGTTAGTGTGATTTCTTCCTGAGGGCAGAGTACTTAAATTTCTACCAATTCTACCCCAATTTTGTACATTTAATTCTTTTAAATAACGTAAATTTAATAAAGACTACTACTCCTTACAGATGCAGTATTCTCTTCGAGACCGAAGTTGTCAGACAACCAGGTTCTTAATAGACCTCCACCTAACATCTACATGAAAGAACGACATCTCTCTCGTGCATCAAAAACTGTCCTAGCTCAATTGAGATCAGGATATAGCCGAGTCCTAAACAGTTACTTGTCACGCATAAACACGTTTTTTCTTGATGTGTGCCTAAACTGCACCTCTACTCTCCATGACGTCGCCCATCCGTTCTCCTGTTCTACAACGCACACAAACCTCCGTCTAATTGATCTTTAGAGCCACCCCATTAAAGTGGCCAGGTTTTTCCATCAGAATCCAGATTAAATTTCACCCACCCAATTCCACCCGATCCTCATTTCTCATCTATTACCCTCAAGCACTACCCAACCATGTAATTGTCTTGTATATCCTTTAACTTTATCTGCTTACAGGTCCCAGCGGGTTGTTACAATAACAACTAATACTCCTACTAAATATTAAGTAAGATATCCATTTCAATATCCAAAATAGAAAAGATATATATCAAACATACAATTCTTGTCTCAACTTCCGCAGTTTAGATTTCAAATCAGCTAATTCAACAGCCAAATGATTGCTTTCTGAATTGGAAGAAGATGGTGTACAGGAAGATTTCAAGCTACTTGATGGTGACAGCGGTAAACTAGCATTTCCATCCACACATGAGGACATATTTACATCTGGCTCTGTACATATAGATGATATCCATTTCATATACATATTATCACGCTCCTTTGTTAGACGAAGTATATGATTATACATAACAGTTGGTGTTAGTAGATCAATAGATTCTTCTGTCAGCACCAAGCTATGATTATCAGTCACCTGTTAATAATAATTTTTTTATTTAATATCAGTTAATCTTTAATTAATCCATAATATACCTGCTTAATGAGTTCGACAATTGCATGCTGAATATCCACATCCAATTCTTTTATTCTTGCAATAAAAAGCTCTTTATTTGGACACTGCACAGCAGCACCAAGCAATAAAGTTAATAATATTTTCATTTGCTCTAAGCCATGCTTCGTTTCAGGATAATAACCTAATGTAAAGCAATCAGGAAGCACAAGTATAGTTTGATTAAATTCCTCTTCAAACAGAGATTTTAAATTCCGAACTATGCATTCAAAATTCTTAGCACGTGCTATACACAGTGTTATTCCGGTTAGTGTATGTAGATCATTGAGATGATTTTGTGGTTCTGGATCGATTTGCAACCAAACGCTGTGTACTATACTTCCATCTAACAGGGAAGAATAGCCTGTAAGTATTTCTGGGCGCGGTAAACATGACTCCAACTGCAATATGAGAATATAGATATGCATGAGATATTGTTATGTGAAATTCGTAAACTTATTTTTAATTAAAAGTTATAAGCAATAATGATTATGAAATTGTATAAGTGAAAGCATTTAAATTTGCAAGCTAATTTAAAGCAGTAAATTATTGCGTAAAAATTAATTATCAATCGCTTCGCTTTTTTTTTTTTGGGAATAATTAACTGAGTTTATTAAAAGCATAAATACTTTCTGGTTTTCAATGTAACGTCCGATGAACTTTCGCAATTATTAATAACTAAAAATATGGACAATAGTTAGCAAATTCGAATATGTCTCGGTATTATAGACTATGCAAACACCATTCAATTGCTTTTTAAGAATTGAATTTATAAACATATTTCATATTGCTAAGTATGATAAGTATGAAGGTCCCATACGCGACCGGGGCTACAAAACCAAATGTCTTTTCGAGCTGCTATTGGGAAGCATGATCTATTAGTTTTCTGCTTTTTGGCTCTTATAAAACGATTTATAAGATATAAAACGATTTATAAGACGAATACATGGGTTAGGATGTAGATGGATGATGGCTGATTAAGGATAAGGGGAATTAGTGAGAATTGGGAGTATAGAAATAAAAATAAACAAAGTACCAGCTCCCAACAGAGCGGAACACCGCGCCCATAATTGATCTTTTGTGCCACAACAGACCCTAACCGAAAAAAAAAAACTTTCCACCTTTCAAATGAAAGCCAGAATGTCAACCATTGAAGACCTTCTAATGTCAGAAGGGAAGAGTAGTTCTCCTGGCCCAGATCAAGGCTGGGCAGTCACAGAGAATGTGACTGAAAGTCTCATCCGCTTCTAGGCAGAGTCGACAATCTATCTCTTCGGACAGACCCATTTTATTAAGGTGATAATGCAGTCCATGATGACCCGTTAAATATCCCACCAGTAACCTCAACTCTGTTCTGCTGAAGAAGAACATCTTAGCGTAGCTGTAAGAATGAATCAGCTCTTTAGCCTGACGCTTACCTGGAATGTCGCACCGGTTGAAGGCCATTTTTCAGAGACCCAGTAGAAGACCAACTTGGGAGTAGGTGGGATTTAAATTGCAATAAACCCTTGCTCAAAGAAACCTACTGTACGTCCCGCAGCCACTCGTCAACTACGACGCCCATGTGCCATTCACCATTACCCAAAAGAATTTTACAAGCAGATATGTGCTTGTATTTGGCAGTGGTGTTACTTGTGACTAACAATGCTCCGAAAACTCACTCAAAATTGTACCACTTTTCGCTACAGGATTAGTTATGGTGCGAACACCAGGCAGGAATTTATACAACCATTTAACACACATAGAGACAAGTAGCTGCTCAAAACATTACTGTATTCTGACCACAATTGAGCTAGAACAGTTCTTGCTCCACGGGGCAAAGATCCATCTTTCCAGGAGATAATAGGCGATGGTCTATTACAAACTCGATAGCAACTATGGTTTTTAAGAAGAAACTACATCCGTGTGGAAAGCTGTAAGTTTACCACAATTGAGCTAGAACAGCTAGATCTATCTTTCCAGGAGATAATAGGCGATAGCCTATTAAAAACTTTGTTGCGGACACTCGTGGTTTTGAAGAGGAAACTTCATCTATGAGGAAAGCAGTTAGTTTGCGTTTGTATTCGACCTCACAGATATTGGCTACATTATATTAGATGTCAATGTAAACATTATATTAATTGTTGATGTTATCATTTCACTAAGACAAGAGCATTGATTCATTATTTTTATTTTTTCACCACCGAAATATTATTTTTTTGTTTGCTAGTTTACTTTGTTTTCTAAAAACTATAATTACAGATTTGTTAAGTTTACTTCAGCCATTTTTCTTAATTTGCTAGTTTACCTCATTTTTAAAAACTATAATTACAGATTTACTAGGATTAGTTCAAATCTATATATACTGAGAAACTTATCAGTTTCGTTACTAACTCAAATGAGCTGTTACAGATTTGCTTAGGACAGTTTAGATCATACTGAAAAATCTGTTATTTTCATTACTGGACAAAGTCGACTTAAAGACTACACACATGAAGTTTATATTTATATGGCAAAGTTAAGTTTTAAGCAAAGAATTCCAATCTTCTTTGGGGTCTTTGAAAGCCCTGTTATGCTTAGTGATCTGACATAATAGGTTTAGTGATCTAACAGACCTGTAATTCTCCTTAGGGATCTTTAAAATTATAACAAGTGTAGTGACTTGACAGCGCTGTCATTCTTCTTTGCGATTTTTGAAAGCATAATAGGTTTAATGATCTAACAGACCTGTGATTCTCCTTCGGGGTCTTCGAAAGTATAATAAGTACAGTGACCTGACGGAGCTGTCATTCTCCTTTGGTGTGTTTGAAAGCATAACAGGTACAATGATCTAATTGAGCTGTCATGCTTCTTCACGGGCTTTAAAAGCATAACAGGTTTAGTGATCTGACATAGCTGTCATTCTCGTTTAGGGTTTACGAAAGTATAACAAGTACAGTGACCTGATAGTGCTGTCATTATATTTCGGGTTATCGAAAACATAACAGTAACAATATCCGGACAGAGCTGTCATCCTTCTTAGGGTCTTCAAAAGCATTACAGATACAGTGTCCTGACTAAGCTGTCATCCTTCTTTCGGGTCTTTGAAAACATAACAGTTACAGTGATCTGACAGGTTGGAGTGGCGGCCTTGTTTACCAAGAAAGCCCACTTGAGCACTTGATAATGGCCTGTTGTGGACAGAACTGTCATCATCCTTTGTGATCATCGAAAGCGAGTGACCTAGCACAGCTTCGGATTCTTCGTAAACATAATAAGTACAGTGCCCTGACAAAGCTGTCATTCTGCAAAGTTTGGGACGTGGTCATATCTATAGACTTGTCCGACTGTTTCACTTACAGATGATTGAGCGTTGTTTGTACACTGATCACTGCGGTTCTTACTAGAATCCTTGTTGTATATGAGCAACGCTAATCGGTGATATCACAACAGGCCGGCATTTGACTTAAGTGGCCTTTGGGCACAAGGCCGCCACTCCAACCGCACCTAGCCATAACAAGTGCAGATACGGCAACATTAATTTTGTACAATATAAGAAAATAATCACAATTAGCACCTATTCATTAAAAAAAATTCTCTTTTTTTTAACTTTTTCCGGTTTATGTGAAACTCAGGTATTGAAGTTAATAATTTTTTCTTCAATTGCCAAAGGCCAAAAAAAAAAATGTGCTTCATTCATTATTTAGCAAGGCTGAATAAAAACTAATTGAATAAGAGAAAAACGTACCGCACAAATGGTAGCTGATAAATAATAGAACTTGTTTACCTCAACGATTTTGCTTGCACCTCATTTGGCTGGAAGCCCACCGATTGAATTGAATGTGTAATAATTTCTTTGTATTATTGAAGAAATAGCAAAGCAATTTTCTATTCAAAATAAAATGTCTTCGACGTGAAAATGAAAAACTTAACGCAGAAGAAACATACACACGCACGTACGTTTGGAGTAAATTAAACAGATTCCGTTTCATTGACCTTGTGTTTGTTTGTTTGTTTGGTTGATTGTGGAGACGTCGTCCGTCCACAACGCCAAGCAGAAAGCAACCCAATTGGGATGTGGGAAATACACAAGAGCTAACTCATCAATATGTTGTGTGCGATCGCTTTGCTTTTGTTATAATTGTATGTAAATTTTTAATTTTTAATTTTAATGATTTCTTATGCATGCGATGAGCATCGCAATAAACAATGGAACAAAGTAGCGAAGTACCGCAGTGCCGAAGTAACACCAATTAAGCGAACTGCAACTGTAGAATAACGTCGTATTATCGGACTTACCCATGACACAAGTGCTCCGTTAATGAATTCGTCAATTTCCATGGGATTTGCTGCGCCACTCATTCTGCACCATTAACACCTAACACCCCGCCTGACACCCGTTGTCCTTTGATACTTTTATATGATGTTTATTTTGCTATTAGCCAAATAAGCCAAATAAGCAAAATCTAAAAAGGATGCAAATGTTGCGCTTCCAAACATAGGAATGTAACTATTGGACACTGTCTTTTATTTTATTTTATTTTTTTATTTTATTTTTATTTCTTTCTACTTTTGACAATTTGATTGCAGCACCACACGCAACATTAAAATTACAACACGAACGAGTTTTTCTAGAGCAAAAACAAAAAAATAACATCAAAGCGGCAGCTTGCCTCAGGCTTCTTTTTTTCGCTGAATTTTGCTTGTAAAAAATAACTTAAATCTTTTAGAATTCTGCACACTTTTTATTTATATTTTAGCACTACATTATATTCCAACAAGATCTGATTATAGTTTCACATAATTTTTTCTATTCTTATTTATTTATTTAAATCATTTGAACACCACAATTTTTTCCATGCAAACGACTTAGCTGAAATTTGGAAAGCAAATAAACACGCAAAACAACAATAAAAACTACCACCACTTAGGCAACATGTTGCTAAAAACGTGCAACATTTATTCACTTACAGTGTTGCATTTTGATTTCATTTAATAAATAAATAAATGAATATGAAAGGTTGCTACAAGTGGAGTGAAAAAAAACCGGCAAAAAACTGTTAAACAGTTTATTTAAATATTGCCTACTTCGGTCTTGTGCGAATTCGAGTTAATTGATGGTAAAATGAGGAAATTAGTAAATTATATCGGTATGGCAGCGAATGTTAGTATTTACCAAAATTTCAAGAAGGGTAAATTGAATAAAAATAAGGTATTACCATTGTGAATATTTTATAATATGTTTAATAAATAAATGAATAAATTAGAAAACTTTTAACCAAAAATAATAAATAAGTGCAATAAATAAATAAATAAATATTTACATAAGTGCAGTGCAAAAAATCCTTGGGAATTTCCAATTTACTTTACCAGAATTTACACGAACACGCACACGGCCTTATATATATATATTGATATAAACAAGTTTTTCAAAAAGTAGTGAACTGCAACAACAAAAATTAATTTTTATATTATTTTAAATAATTGAAATTTTGGCCATAAAAGCTGTTTCAAGTATTACCAAATACTCATCATCAGTGGTTTTGGAAATAATATTGTATTTAATAATAGGTAAATAATTTTTTGAGACCGCAAGTACCAGGAATTGAGCTCGTGCCCTGCCAAATTTGAAGCGTCAGCGTTCATTAGCCAACTGACCCAATGCCGTACTTTATTTTATATTATATATTGTTATATAAAAATCAAAAATAAAAACTAACAGTTTTAATGAGTTGTAGCATAAATAATTAATATTAATGTACATATATTAATATAATAATAATTTAATATTAATATAGTAATAATATAATATTAATATAATAATAATGTAA